AATTATTTTCCCAGCCTCGTGCAAAGATATCAATATTACTAAAACTGCAGCCAATGGGAATATTTGTGATCCCATGTCCTGTGGGAAATTCACTGCAACTGGAATTGTGGGACTTGGTAATAATGATGAGAGTTCTTCTCGTGGGTTTAAATGTTTGAGAGGATGGGGTTGGATATTATAACTTACAATGTATGTTCCAATTTCAGGGACACAGTAAAGTGACACGGTGGGTATATTTTTATAGGACGTTAAATCGAAGTTGATTGAATGAGGTTTGAGGTGAGGGAACATGGTGTCAAACACTGCTTGATTGGTTCAAGAATGAGGTATTTAAACGCTTGATTGCCTAAGGCTTCACATTGTTCTTTTTGACTCTTTGTATTGAGAACTACAGCTAAGTCAACTGAGCCAGACGTGTCAAAGGGAGATGGGGGCGTCCCCATTCAGAGTGCGGTGGTCTTGATTCACAGACACTCCTGGGCAAGAAGCCTAGAAGAGCCTCTGCAGTCGGCGAGACCCTCCTGGAGACAACCGGAGAACGAGACACAGAATCCTCTCTTCCTGGGAGATGCTGCTCCAGCTACTTCTCTAAGGAGCAACGATCAGGCAAACAGTGCACAGAGGCAGGACAATAGGGGCACTGATACAGTCAGAGGAGCATTTGGAGAGGGGCCTTTTCGGGGAAGGGCCCTGGGAGGGGACATAACTGCTTGCACAGAGCCTTGTGAGCTCTAGTTGCATCTGGTCCAGTCCCAGATTGTCAATATCAGTGCTGAATTCCAGACGAGCATTCATGAACTGGTCTTGTCCCTGTCTGCCCTGAGCTCCCACTGCTTTCTGGGGTGAAAGACCGGAGCCTGGGGACTTGCTGCCTGGGTATTTCTACTGTCTTGGAGGGCCTGCCCCTCCCCGCCCCTCCGACAGAACCCATCAGGGGGTTTCTGTGCTGTGCTGTGAGTGAAAGACTACTTGGAGACAAAGGGGAGAGATAACAGGACGCTATACACAGGAAGCTCATAGCTTAGTTTTCCAGAACTTTCTTTTATGGTCATTTTCTTCCAGAATAATTTTATAATAATTTTCCCAATAATTCTGTGAGGACTTTACTTGATGTTACATTAAGTCAATACTGTACATTATTCTGAGCAGAAGGGACAACTGTATGGTAGATACCAGTTGTCCCTCCAAAAGCAAGGCACCTGGTCACTCCTTTTCAAGTTTTCTTTGACCTTTTGTAAAGTGTGTCATTTTTCTTCATATAGGGCACACACATTTCCCTAAAGAGAGATGTTTCCAAGCAATGTTCTGTCTTGTTAATTTTTTAATTCATTCAAGAATATTGTGCAAAGCTCTAGGAATTAAGCAGTAAGCAAGACCCCTCTGTCCTACCCTCAGGATACAGTCTAGTGGAGAAGCTTACAGTCTAGAAGGAAAGAGACACTTAAGCAATAGTTGGTAATTCCAACGAACAAGATAAGTATGGGGTGCCCAGAAAGCACACTACAGGGGGACCTAGCCAGTGTAAGGATCTGGGAAGCCCTTTCTGAGGGCATAACATCTACGATTCTATCTGATTAATAGGTAGGCGGTAGCTGGACAAAACCCCACAGAGAAGGAACAGGCCAAACGCTTTTTGCTTGTTTGTCCTTTGTATTTTTCTGACTGGGTATTCCAAGTACACAGGAATGTTATTGGATATCATTGATTTTTGTATCCTCTTCTTTTACCCAACATTTATACAAAATTATTTTATTAATCCTAACATCTTTTTAGTTAATTTCTTTGGATTGCCCTGGTAAATAAGCACACTATGTGCAAACCTAATCTTTTTAAAGGCTATTTATAACTTTAATTTTTCCACCACTTGGGGCAAGAAGTTTGAAACGTTTGTTTTCTGGTGAGCAATATGGCATTTCCTCCTTTTGTCCTAATGTACAAACTTTACATGTTACCTACCTACCTGCCGTTCCAGAATATGACGAATAGGCCCATGGCCACCCCACTTCTACCTTTCACGGAAGGAACAATGCGTTCACAGACTAAAAGGGAAAATGCACGGAGTGAAATAAACTGGAAGCCCTCCCCCTCTTCTTTCATCCAAGATGTCATCTAAGCGGGTGCCATCCCTCCTGGGTACCACAGACAGAGCCATTTTACTGTCAAAGCGAGGCTCTTGTAATGTAATACAATAGCAGATTCAAGAAAAACCCAAATGCTTCCTAGTACAATAAGGGCAAGGGCTAATGTTACGGAAAGGACAAGAAGAAAGCTCTTCTAATAGGAGCGAAGCAATTGCCTTCACACACGTTAAGATTGGGTAGGCTCCAAGACAAGTTAAACCTTGCCTAGGTGAGGCATGCTTACCTCTTTGATGAACCGCTGAGGAAGCGGACACTGCAGACTGAATTAGCACCGACACACCCTCCATCACTCTCGCTGGTGCTTCTGGAATCTATTGTCTCCCCAGGGTCGGTCAGTGAGACTTGGGAAGGGATGGGGGAGGAAATTCTTGCTCCTGTGAGGAGGCATGGGGTCTCCCAAGGAAGAGGATGAAGATGGAAGACCAAGCGACTTGAAAGAGGGGACCTCATGGGCAAGGGGGTAACAAAGAGAGTGTTGGATGGGAAGGAACATCCATGGTAGATACCGTTTTTCCATGATTCAGGTCTGGCTCCCTTATGTTGGGCAAAGGGTGTTGGTTGAGTTGATGAAGTTTCCAACTTCTGGTCCCCCATACTGCTTACTCATCTGAGAACTCTCCTGACGGTTCAGGAGAGAACTTCTTTTACCTCCCTGGTGTTCCTGCCTGTCTGGTCTGGAGGATGAGGAGCTGAAGCGGCTCCAAGATGGCCTGGGCTTCACCTCCATCTCTTCCTAAGGATCATAAAGCAGACGCAACACTGGAATCGGAGATGAGCCCAGATTGCACCGTTTGCTGGCTGGAGACACCTTTTGAGTCAGAAAACAAGGGGCCCTTCCATAGTCCAGTTACATGATTCACGAACACATTAGAAGAAGTAAAAGGCCAACCACGGGAGGCAAGTCTCCAGGCCACCTGGAGGACCCACCAAGGCCAGCCACACATGTGGTGGGAGCATTCAGCACAAAGTTCCATCATTAGCAGAAGCCTGATTCTCTGGCCCTCTTGGGACTGAATAAGACGCAAACCCATGTCTACCAATGAGCCTCTTCGGGAGAAGATGGCTAACCCCAAATCAGCTCTCTATCCTGCTCACACTCTGTGTATGACAGAAGAGTCTGATGTATTATTCATCTCTTTGGATCCCCACAACAGGATTTTTAAGGTAAGTATTTATGATCCTAGTTTTACAGACGAAGAAACAGACTCAAACAGGTTGTGGCAGATACCATCAGTTGCCCACCCAGCAACGTTGCACCTCTCATCTTTCTTCCTAATAGAACCCTGGTTTTACTTAAGTATCCTGTCTTATCTGCGTGGCAGGCATTTCAGGGGTCCCATCCCCAGCCTGGCTGGGAGGAGGAGGAAACTCTGATTCATGCGAGCCAATCATAATGATTCCCTTTCTCCCCTTTGCCAGTGATTGGTTTAGAAGTGGCATGAGACACACTTCTGGCCAATAGGATGTGAGGCTGTGTCTCCTAGAGAGCTTCCAGGAAATGCTTTCTTGCTGATGAAAGAGGCCCTCTGCTGCTGCTGCAGCACACTGTTGGGTCTGCGTGGGATTCCTGGAAATGAGGCAGCCATCTTGCAATCATAGGGCGAGGTTAGGAGCCCAAGCCAATCCCTGAAGGAGGGCAGAGGAAAATGTTGGAAAGAATCTGGGCTCTTCACTTACATTGATAAGCTGCTGAATTCAACATCCCTGGAGTTACCTCAAATCAGAATTTCTTATTATAGGATCGTAAACATTTTCTTTAATGATTTGGTCATTCTGGAAAGGGATTTTTCTTATTTGCAGCCACAAGCACCCTGACAGATACAGAAGTGAGTGACTGACCTGAGGTCCTACAGCTAAGCCACTGAGCTTAGATGAAATTCCAGGTCTGTAGGATTACAAATACCACACACTTTCTACTCTGCCGGGGTGGACAACGAAGTGAAGAGCAATTTCACAGGATTCTCTAGAATCCTTCCCCACACAAGGATCTCGCTGTTAGTCAGGCATCTGTCAGCTCGTCAGTCCTAAAAAAAGACTCCATGAAAATGATTTTTTAAAAAATACAAAACAAATCTCCTTCTCTCTCTTCCCACAGTGTCTTTTCCTCTCTGAAGCATTACAACTGCTTCTTATTCTGCCCATTGTGTCAAGATAACAGGATTTAATTACCAAATTTATACACCACCAGCATGGCATAAATGCATTGGCCTGAGCTAAAATGAATGCAGTTATTAAAAAAGGAAAAGAGTTGCCGCATCACGCAGTGACAGCAGACACAGAGACGACAGTTTTATTTACTTTATCTCCATGCAGGAAGCAGTTAAGCCATTTCAAAGCGATTATTGGGTTTTAATGATCCAGGACATTAAAACACATTTCTCCTGGCGACAGTGACACAGGTAAAGAAAGTGATAAATTCAAGAAATAATGGTCTGGTTTGGACAACCCCTCCCCACTCATTTGCGATGGGCCCCACGGTAGCCGTTCTCCAGGTAGTGTGGACCGCTGGCTGGGGTCCTGGGAGAACGCTGGTAAATCTTCTCGGTAGGACTGGGAGATCTTTCCAGATTAAGATTTAGCAGCGGGCTTCCCTGGTGGCTCAGTGATTGAGAGTCCGCCTGCCGATGCAGGGGACACGGGTTCGTGCCCCGGTCTGGGAGGATCCCACATGTCGCGGAGCGGCTGGGCCCGTGAGCCATGGCCGCTGAGCCTGCGCGTCCGGAGCCTGTGCTCTGCAGCGGGTGAGGCCACAGCAGTGAGAGGCCCGCGTACCAAAAAAAAAAAAAAGATTTAGCAGCAGCTTTTAAGCTCCACAATGCAAACCACAGCTGGTGCTGAGCCCTGCCTCCAGGTGCCCGAGGGAGAAGGAAAAGAACTGGGAAAGTGGGAGAAAAGGTGAAAGGAAAGAAAGGGAAAAGACCACCAAATGTCATGCCGTAAAATTCTTTCCACAGTGCACTCCAGCTGCTTCGCCCATCCAAGGTCAAGGCCAAGTTCCCTGGGCTAAGTCCAAGCCCCAGGAACGAGAGTCTCCTTTGTTTTCCCTGGAGCTGATGGGCACCTAGAGCTCAGGTAGGGAGAGGTTCCCAGACTGACCTGTCAGATTTCCCAGGGCCCTGAGGGAACCATCCCCAGAAAACTCAGCCAAAGCTGCTGCTCTTTGATCTGTCATATACTTTGGACTTTCACAAGAGATTTTTTTTTTTTAAAGAGAAGCCACTGCTGTTTTAAAAGTTTGGAAACTGAAGATATAGGCCTACCTCTTTATTTTGCAGAGACTGAGGACCAGAGAGGGGAAGCTGAAGACAGAGAGGGAGCTGGAAGCAGGTCTCCATCGTTCCCAGGCTGCTCCTGGAATTCTCCAGACAGGATACGGATGGCACTCGAATGGGCGATTTTTGAACTTCTAACCTCCCCAATCAGCAGCCTTGCTGACCAATAGCTATGCCCTGTCCAGGTAAATAAGACTATGAATATGTGGCCTCCTCTTCCCAGGTGCTGTCTCTTGGATTTTCAAAGAAAAATTCAGCCATTCCTTGGGTCCTCACAATACAGTCAGAATCAACCCATCCTCCTCACATGTCACAAGCTCCTGACGTTTTGGGTAAGAGCCCTACTCTCGAGCTGTTTCCTTGGAGATATGAGGAAAATAACAACTTTGTTCGCCGTTTTCCTAACGATGTCCCCCCACTCCCCAAGCATGGCTGAAGTTTTGCAGAAATTTCTGGACCTTTCTTCTGAGCTTAGTGGGAACACCACATTTGGATGCAGTTCTAATAAGGTCATGGTCATCAGAGGTGATTTTATGACTTAAGTGGGGCCTTGATTCTTCACCCCTGGGGGGGAAAAGCTCACAGACTGCTGAGCCCAGAGTGCTCTCCGGAAGTTGCATTTTTCTGGGAGGTCAGGACCCCAGCATCGGGGCTGGTGAAAGGGGGCCTGGGGTGGAGCCGGTGTGAGCAGGTTTTATGATGGTAACATGGAAGGAGGAGGAGAAATCTGGGTTGGAGCTTATGAGAGGGGAATCGTTGTGCCCTTGGCTCAGAGGTGCTGAGATGCCTGGTGGGAGGGGGGTGTTGTGTAGCCACCCCTCTAGATAAGGGCGCCCCAAGGTCAACTCAAGACCTCAGATCTATAAGTGAAGCCCAAAGAAATAAAGACCATTGCTCGCTGCATACCCAAATCGTGCTTACAACACAGATACGGAGACAGGCAGATTCTAGAAGGATTCATCTCTTGAGCCAGTCACCTCTTACAGAAGAAAAAGAGAAGAAAACCCAGTTATGAGAAAAATGCCTTTAGAGAAGTAGTCCTGCAGCTGGTAGCAGCCAGTGTCTGGAGCCAGCCTGTCGGCATCACCACCAGGCTCCCCAGCGTAAGAGCCGAGCCATTCGGGGCACATTCCTTAGCTTTTCTAAGCCTCGCTTCCCACAGCCGTGAAATGGGAATAATAGTAGCACTTACCCCTTCGAGCGCGTGTATTTAGAGCCCGCAGCATGTTGCCTGGCGCACTGAGCAGTGGCCGCCATCCTCAGCCAACCTCAGGCTGCTCGTCACGCTTCCCAGGAGGACTCTACGGACCCAGTCAGGTGCTGGAGGAGAAAAGCTCCAAGAGGCCTGTGTCAGTGGCTCAGAGACACTCTGGTGTCCCACCTTGTTCTGGGGCAAGAGCAAGGTGCTCGGTCTAAGCAGCTTGGGTTGAGAAGGCGCAAGAAGGGAGCACATCCTGCAATTTTTCCTGGGCTCTCAGAGAGAAGGGGAGCTGCGGGCTGCAGGACCCCAGACACCAGACTCGAGTCGACTTGCAGGGAGCCGAGGGGCCGCCCAAGGAAGTCCTTTCTCCGGATGAGAGCCGGGCACAGAGGCCAGCTCCTGGAAAAGCTCTGAGCTCCCTTCTAAGGGTCCTTTAACGGGGTTATCGTGTGTGTGCTGGGAACAGCCCTCAGGAGAACAGGAGTGAGCCTCCGTCTCAGGGGACGTTGGCACCAAAGCCAAATGATGCCGTGCTGGCATGGGATGTCCCGCACTGGGCAAGGCTGGGACCAGGTGACCCACACCTGGGGTGGGATGTCTGCAGCTCAGCGGCAGGGAGCACAGTCTGTGTACCAGGGAGGCCCAGGGCCAGGGGCTCCACACGCAGGCCTCGTCCCCACCTCACAATGAGGCAGGCACTCTGGGTCACTCTGTTTTACAGAAGAGGAACCTGGGGCGCGAGGGTGGTCAGTCAGTTGCCCAGAGTTGCAAAGTTACTTAGGATACAGAGCCAAGATCCAGATGCGGCACAGTCGGCCTCAGAGCCTGTGAGCTAAATGCTGCTCTGCACAGCCTCACCTTTCCCTGTCTCCGTGCCGCGTGTGGATGGGCCTCTGGTGACAGAGCGGGCAGGAGCTGGCAGATCTGGGGGGCAGGCGAGGGCTGGGGCGGGCAGGCTGGCAGGCGATTGCTGAGTCTGGTACTGCGCCGCAGCCGGGGCTGGGGGCCACACGTCCCACATCACCACCAGAGAGGAGGTCCTGCTGGGCCCGGGAGGAATCCGGAAGTTTCTTTAGCATCATTGGCTGGTTTGTTGCTTTGCGCGGCTACTGCTTTCTGCACCTAGTAGACACCTGATCCTCCACACCTGGGCTGCTTCCCCGCTCTCTCTCTCTCTCTCTCACACACACACACACACACACACATACACACACACACAGATCGGAGTCACTGACAGCAAGTGGGTGAGAAGAAACAGAGAAAACAGAACCAACCAATGAAAACCCTAAGGGCAGCAACAATTAATATTTAAGTTGAAAACTGCCTGGGAACCCAAAGCGCAGGCTATTCATGTGCAAATCATATGCAAATCATATGCAAACAGGCTCCACACCTCCACACCAGGGCCCCTGTAATTATTCCGTAAACCTGTCGGGCCAGCTCTAAGGGCAGCTCCCTGTCCTGCCCCGGCTACAGGAGGGCTCCCATGCCAGGAATGAGTGAGGCCTCTGGGTGGCACCCTCGGGTGAGCGTGGTGGCCCTGGGTTTCCTATGGTCAAAGCCCCTTCTGATTCTGCGGTCTCCCTCCCACCTGCGAGAGTTCCTGACCGTGCATCCCGGCTCCCCTCACCCACCCCAGAAGGCATTCCTGAAGGTCTCCCTAGGCGTCAAATCTTGATGCCTCTGCGACACTGCCCGCCTCTGCCCCTGCTCCCTCCTCTCCGGCACCTGCTCTGGCTCTGTTGATACTAATTCCAGGGTCAGGGGCAGCCCCCCATGAGCCTCCCTTTTATATGGGCTGGGTGGGCCATGGGGCTCCCCTGACGATGCAAGCAGGGCCTTCCTGAACTTTGCATTGTTCTGCCATGGCAGGAAAACCGTTCAGGTCACCCAGCGCCAGCCCCAAACTGGAGAACCAGGAGTCTAGAGTTCACCTGCATGGTTTGGTGACCTGGGCCTTCCAGGCCTGAGACCACAGACTTGGAGTGAGGGCCAGGAAGTAGCCCCCTCAGGCCGGTGCTCGTCACTGCCCCCAGCCCCGCAGCCGTGACAAGAGAGGAGAAGCGCCTCAGACAAAGGCCCGGGAGCGGTTCCCAGCCAGCTGGTCCTGCAGCAGAACACTTTAGAGCATGAACTTGCCTCTATCTCTGCCTGTATCCTTCACTCTGACTCTTCAAGTTCCAGGAGAGCAGGGACCGATCTTATCGATTCTAACCCTCAGCCTCCAGCACGGCAGACCATGACCCGCACAGATGGAGAGAAGAGCCTCGGAAGAGTCCCGCCCACGTGCGGCACCTCATCAGTGGTAACTGCCCTTGAGGATAAATGTTGACGTGTCTTGTCCGCCGCTGGGTTCCCAGAGCCTGGAGCAGTGTGTTGGGAGGGAGAGGCCGCTCTGGGCCAGCATCACACCATCACCGTGCCTAGAGCCAGATGCGACAGGCTGGTGGTAAGGGAGGAGCCGGCGTGCGTGCCCTGCTGGACAGCCAAGACAAGTTCTTTTTATTTTAATTGAAATATAGTTGATTTACAAAGTCTTGTTAATTTCTGCTGTACAGCAAAGTGATTCAGATATATATATATATATATATATATACATATATATACATTCTCTTTTATAATATCCTTTTCAATTATGGTTTATCACAGAGTGTTGAATATAGTTCCCTGTGCTGTAGAGTAGGACCTTGTTGTTTATCCATTCTATATATAATAGTTTGCATCTGCTAATCCCAAACTCCCACTCCATCCCTCTCCTACCCCACCCCCCTTGGCAACCGTAAGTCTGTTCTCTATGTTTGTGAATCTGTTTCTGTTTCATAAAAGTTAATTTGTGTTGTATTTTAGAGTCCACATATAAGTGATGTCATACGGTATTTGTCTTTCTCTTTCTGATTTACCTCAGAAAGTAAGTCAGAAGGACTTAGCATGTCTTTAGTAGTATGATAGTATGAAAATCTCTAGGTCCATCCATGTTGCTGCAAATGGCATTATTTTGTTCTTTTTTATGGCTGAGTAACATTCCATTGTATATATGTACCACATTTTCTTTATCCATTCATCTGTCGATAGACATTTAGGTCATTTCCGTGTCTTGGCTATTGTAAATAATGCTGCTATGAACATTGGTGTGCATGTATCTTTTCGAATTAGAGTTTTCTCCAGATATAAGCCCAGGAGTGGGATTGCTGGGTCATATGGTAGTTCTATTTGTAGTTTTTTAAGGAACCTCCATACTGTTCTCCAAAGTGGCTGCACCAACTTACATTCCCACCAACAGTGTAGGACGGTCCCTTTTCTCCACACCCTCTCCAGCATTTGTTATTTGTAGACTTTTTCTTCTTCTTCTTTTTTTTTTTTTTTTGCAGTACGCGGGCCTCTCACTGTTGTGGCCTCTCCCGTTGCGGAGCACAGGCTCCGGACGCGCAGGTTCAGCGGCCATGGCTCACGGACCCAGCCGCTCCGTGGCATGCGGGATCTTCCCGGACCGGGGCACGAACCCATGTCCCCTGCATCAGCAGGCGGAGTCTCAACCACTGCGCCACCAGGGAAGCCCTGTAGACTTTTTAATGATGGCCATTCTGACCAGCGTGAGGTGATACCTCATTGTAGTTCTGATTTGCATTTCTCTAATAATTAGCGATGTTGAGCATCTTTTCATGTGCCTGTTGGCCATCTCTATGCCAAGATCAGTTCTGATCCTGCCCCCAAAGGGACTGATGATCCACCTGGTGAAGTACACAAGGACCGGCCTTTCCTGGCCAGTGGTGGTGATAGGGTGACCTCAGGGTGAGAGCAGCAGTATTGTTAATGCACTGAGGGGTAGGTTTCTCTAAGAAAGCCCCCAGAGGAGGGCAAGCAGAGCAGAGATTTAAATGTTGGAGTGAGACTTTAAAATAAAGGAAGAGAGAAGAAAGAACATGCTCAGGGTTTGGAAAGAGCTTGGGCCAAAATACCGACATGGCAGTAGGAAGTGCAAGGGGAGGGGAATGAGCTGGGGCTCGGGAGTGAGTCCTGGCAGCTCCCCCCGTGGCTCCTATGTAATCATTTCTTGATTCAGCGACACCCAGGACTAACTGGGTCCCTTGCTCCACTGGACATTTACTGAGCATCTGTGTGCCCAGCACTGTGCTGGCCCCAAAACAAAGCCCTACCTTGGGCAGCTTCTGTACCAATAGAAGAGAGTGGTCACCAGACAAAGCCGTGATGGACCACCTGCTTTGAGAGGGAAAAATATAAAACATCTACCGTACCAGACATAAATAATTAGGTAAAAAGTGAGATTAAAGTGCATACCATTTTCAGAAATATTAAATTGCTGGGGGGAGATGTGCATCTGAGATCTGAAGAACTATAATAATATAATTTATAGTAATATAATAATAGTAATATAAAGTAATAGATACAGTAATATAATAATAAAGGGCACTGTATTTTAATTACAACTCACCTGGTTGCAAAGAAGAGAAACTCAGTCATAGTAGTGAAAGGACACAGGACAATTTTATGACATCGAACAGCAGGATACATCCGGAGCTCTGCAGGAACTGTGCCTGGGACTGGGGTGCGGGGACTGGGGTGCCATTGAGAGGGGCAGCAGCCCCCTCCCTACCTTCTTTCTTCTCTGCTCTTTTCTCACTGCACCTCTCTTCATGCTCCTCTCTCTGGCTTCCTCTGCTTATCCAGCGTCTCTGTTTAGGCTGGCCATGGCTCCGACTGTGGCCATGACCTTTGGACCCCCTGACAGCTAATTCCCAGGGTATCCATTCCAAATTCCTGGGAAAGACCCTTAGTGGGTTCAGTGCATTTGTTTGGGTGTCAGCTGAACCACTGCAGCGAGGAGACCGCAAATCACAGTTAAACAAGAGCATCTGTTTTCTCTCCTGAGAGTCTGCCACGGCAGCCCTTCTCTGCAAAGTTCTCCGAGATCCAGGCTCCTTGCATTTTGTTATTCCATCGTCCTAGGGTGGCGACTTTGCCTAAGTGGTCCGAGATTGCTCACCACCACACCCATACCGCAGGAGCCCTGGAGTGGCATGAGTCACCTCCACTCCCAGGGCCCGAATTTATCCACATGACTAAGCCTGGCTTCAAAGTTGCCCAGGAAATGCCTCTTTGCTAGGCTGTCAATGCGTGGCAAGCAGCCATCTCAGGTACACGGTACACGCAGGTGCCTTAGTCATGGTGGCGGGACGGAGGGAGAGCCTAGGAGGGCCGCATGGTGGAAACAGGGCAGCCTGGGCACTCCCTGCAGCAGAGGCCAGTGAAGAGAGCTGGGACCCAGTGCTCAGCCAGGACAAGTCCACCCCCTGCTGAATCCATACCTGGCCCTACTCTACACATGGTGCAGTTATGCAGCCGGACCTCCCGCCTGCTGAAGCACTGAGGATAAACCTTTAGGGAAGGGACCAGGAGAGAGGACAACCATGGGGCCAGTGGTCTGGGAGAGTCTTTGGAATTTCATCTCAAAGGAAACACTTTATGTGCACCAAGGTTTGAGAAGGAGAAGAGAAAACAGAAGATAGACAATGGACAGTTTACAGGGGTCAGGTTCAAATAAAAGGACTTCTAGGTGAGTTCCAGTAAACCCTCTTACTCCGTTTCCTCATCGAGATAAAAAGTGCCCTGGAAGGGTGGTAGAGAAGATTATTTGAGGTAATGGATACACAGCACCAGTAGGCACTCAATGAATGGCCGTTGTTTTAGATTGGAGTGCACAAAGATGGGGCGCCCAGTTCAGGGGATGTGTCCCTCTGTACTTCTTAGTCCAGACCGTTGGGCATTTTTCTTCCCCGCTTCCAGTCCTTGGGGAGGCAGTTCTCCTATTCTAGGGCGCATAGAATTACTCCTGACTCCCAGAGATTCTGATTGTGGTAGGTCTGGGGTGGACCCAGGAATGTGCATGTTCTAGCCAGGAAATTGGGGTCAGGTGGTTGAAGGGCTGAACTTTAAGAAATCCTGCAGAAAAGGAATGTCCATCTCTTAGGCTGACTTTGCTCATCAGCGCCATCATAGTCTTATCGTACATGATGGTCCACATTGCGGTCCTAGGGATACAACTTCTCCGATTACCTTTTATGTGGGGCTCCTGGGTCCCAGGGGATGGAAAAGGCATTGTGGGAGAGAGGGCGAGGTGAAGGGCGAAGTTTTGGTCATAAAACTTCATGTGACGCTTCCACAAGCCCAATAAAGCCCCCCAACACACACCCACAAACTTCCATGAGAAAACTGTCTCCCGTTTGGGCACATCTGCCATTGTCGCAGGGACCAGAATGTGCAGACCAGTCACAGACACTGAAACACTATTAATAGTGGGGCTGGGTTAAGCCAAGTTCAAGTGTGAAAGGCTTCCTCAGGGAGCTGACAGATCCTTTGAGAGCCCAGGTCATTTCAGACTTGAACCTAAGTCATCTCGGCTGACACCTCAGCCGTGACCTCTGGTGCCCTGAGTGAGGTGAGGGTCTGGCCACAGATGACCCAACTGCAGCACCGCCCCCCCCGAAGTCCTTCCTTCTCATGCCTCAGACACAGAGCAGGCCCTTGGTTCTCTGTATATGATATTCATTGGATTTTTTTCCCTGATTACAGAAGAAATATGAAATCATCATAAAAAGTGTTTTTTGAGAAAGTGGCACAAAGACAACAAAAAGCCACCTGTACTCCTATTATCCCAAAATAAACATTAACATTTTAGAGTAACACACTGCTAGTTTTTCCTATGCATATATTTGCATAAAATTGCATACATCGAATTCGGATTTCACCAAATCCTTGCTCTGTAACCTGCTTGTTTCACTTAACAATGTATAATAATTTTCCACATCATCAAATGGTCTTTGACCATCTCATTTTTAATAGTTCATCATATTCTAACATAAGGATGCACAACAATTTCATTTAGACATTTAGCTTAGTTCTATTGTTTTTGTTTTCATTTCTTTTATTTTGCTATTATAAATCTGATTGCATGTCAGTTATGGTTTTTCTCAGGATTGATTATGGGAAATTAAATTCTTAGATCAAAGTTTTTTGTTTTGTTTTGTTTTAAGTTTTAGATACACATCACCAAATTGTGAATATTCAAGTAATGCTTACAGAAGGGACCATGAGGACCAGGGATTCACATTAGGCAGTAGGGGATGAAGGAGGCAGTGTCACCCGAGGGCTGTCTCACCCTCGCTTCTGACACCACAAAGGGGACTTTTGTCAAGCTTGGAACGTTAGGTGGACCCCATCCCCCTCAACACCCCCCCCCAGATCCAGAGTCCCTTAACGATCTATAGACGCTTTCTCTTCTGTGACTATACTCAACCCATCTTAGGGATTCTATGCAAATCTTTATCTGGCCTACAGCAATTATTTCTGAAAACCAGACTTTTGACAGAAGTGCCTTTAACTTTTTTAAAAATAGCATTTTTAGTGCATGCTGTTATCATTGTTACTTATTCAAATGTGTTGACGGGGGAGTGGGTGGAAGGTTTGCATTGGCATGGCAACCAGTGACTAACTGAACTCCCTCCACAGCCCATGATGGCTTCCCTGACTTACCAGGGCCAGAGATGGATGTTTTTTCCCTGTGTGTCCTTGGCTCAGGGTAGAGAAAATGTTATCCACCCCTGAGCTAACCTTTTTCTATTTCATTTATATTTTCCGTTTGTGCCGTCTTTGGGGCTGATAGGTTTAGCAAGTTTACTTCCCACCTGGGAAGTAAGCTTTGTTTTCATCTACAGTTACCTCGTTTAGACTGTACAACATGTTCCCAGATTAAAATAGCTAATACCGTGGTACTGTGGTACCAGGCCTTCTGCAAGGTGCTTTATATATGTCGTACATATGTCACATATATGCTTTATATATGTCACTTCTTCTAATCTTTAAAGAAACTCTGTGATGTGGATACTATCATTACCACCCTTTCTTAAACAGATGAGGAAACTGAGGTGGAGATCAAAGGGCTTGCTGAAGGGTACAGAGTTCACAAGATGAGGATTTGAACCTGAGCAGTTGGAGTCCCAAGGCTGAGGGTCCATCCCCTCCCTCACCCTGGTATCTTCCCTCTGTTGTGGGAAACTGGGATTGAGTGGACCAGTCCATGGTCAAGCACAAGCTTCTGTTTCATGTTCTAGTCCTTGAACACACTCTTTCTCAGAGTTTCTAGGCTGGAGAGTGTGAGCACATCATTCTGTCTTCATGTAGAAGTTCATTCTCTTATTTGCCTGGTTTAACAATCCCTGGAAATTAAACAAGATATCCCTCTCCTTTCTTTTAGTCACACAAATAGTACCCAAACCTCATTGACTCTCAGTTCCTTCAACTATAAAACATAAAACCTAAAAGCTGTCTCACATGAGGACCAAGAAGATGACATGGGAAGGTCCCAGCACATAGTAGGTGCTCAATAAAGCTTACTTCCTTCCCTCCCTTGTCAGACTTCCAGTGGTAACCTGACTCCATTGCTGAGCTTCTGGTCTACGGGAATCGCTGACATCTCTGTGCTCCTCCTGAAGGCAGGGGGCAGATCTGACATTCTCCTTTGGAGGGCTCTGCCCAGGCCCCATCAGGACCCATGGTGGTGTGGATCCCGACCTGGTTCTCCCATGAGCCATGAGGCCCAAAGTTGCCGGGTGCAGAGCAGGGAGCTCAGGCCTAGGAGAGAAGTGGACGTGGGTTCACACCAGCATGGGGAGCCCTTCAGGGGTTACTGAAAGAGCAACTCTAACTCCTGGGCAATGGCCTGTTAGTCACTTGCTGGCTTCATAGTTTCAAAACAAAGAACACTAGTGACCAATGCCTGATGAAACCCTTGGGGAGAACTGTAAAAACACAAAGGAGGAAACGATTGGACAAGAACAGTTCTGAGTAAAGGGAAGTAAGAAGTCTGAATGAACAATGACGTGAACCTGGGCTGGTACTCTGTGCAACTCCGCTGAAACTGTGGGCAACACAAAACAGAAGGATATGTACCAAAATTTGACAGTATCTTCCTCTGGGTGATTCAGCTGTGGGTTGTTTTCTACTTTTGTGTTTGACACAAAATTTTCTCCAATGAACATTTTCTTATTGTGTAATCAGGGAAAAAAATTAACATACTTTTTAAAGATCACAATCATTTTACTGGGATTATAAGGCTAGGAAGATCATTTTTCCACTTGAGCTGGTAGATTAGGTTCTGTCAAGAACACTGGACCATATATTCATTCAGCAGATCCATTGAAAACATGTCAAGCACTGTCCCAGGCCAAGCTCTGGATTCTGTGATAGGAGGGACGTGAACAAGTTGGGAAAGTTTGAGAGAAGGGTCACTGGAGAATTAAAGTTTTATCAGTTAAGATAAGCCAAGTCAGTGCTACTCACACTCCTAGATGAGCCCCATCAGCATAAGCTATTAAAAATGCAAATTCTCGGGCTTCCCTGGTGGTGCAGTGGTTGAGAGTCCACCTGCCGATGCAGGGGACACGGGTTTGTGCCCCGGTCCGGGAGGATCCCACATGCCACGGAGCGTCTGGGCCTGTGAGCCATGGCCGCTGAGCCTGCACGTCCGGAGCCTGTGCTCCGCAACGGGAGAGGCCACAGCAGTGAGGGGCCCGCATAATGCAAAAAAAAAAAAAAGAAATACAAATTCTCAACCCACACCCCCCAAAAGCACTGAATCAGAATCTCTGGGGCAGGGCTCTGAAATCTGTGTTTTAACAAGCTCTCTAGATGGTTCCGGAGCAAGCTACAGAATCGGAGGAGCACTGGGCTAGGATGTGCCACAGTAACAAATAACCCTCACATCTCAATGGCTCATGGTGACAAAGATTGCTTTCTTGCTCACAAAACTTGTCCACCGTGGGCCGGTTGTGCTCTTCTCCAAGACCCGGGCTGGCGCAGCCGGCACCCTCTGTCTGAACATTGCCAGTCCTCATGGCAGAGGGAGACGAGAACATGGCAAGCAGTGATCTCACTCTTGAAGCTTCAACTAAGC